CAGTAGTGATGACATAGATTTGATTGACATCTGCCAGTTTCACTTTCCAAACATACCTTGTTTAGTGTGGATAATTTATATTTTTCGTTATTTTTTCATTTATTTTATAGAATCTTTCCGCTTTTTGCAATATTTAAGTATTCTAGATTTGACATTTCAACGTTTGTTTGGAAAGTAATAATGACAATGTGACGTCACACTCCTGCGGTCCATTCCTTTCAATTGTAAACAAATTTTACAGTTATGACAAATGCCAAATGTCGCTGTCAATAACAATGGACCGCAGGAGTGTGACGTCACATTGTCATTATTACTTTCCAAACAAACGTTGAAATGTCAAATCTCAAGACTTTTTAATTCCTATAAAGTTAACATTTTGCTTCCTCTGCTGCTTTTTCTTGTAAGTATAGTGTTTTTACGATAATACCGTCATAATTCAGAGTTCTATTTCTATGAAATATGGTTTTAAAAGTTTATTAAAGAAATTGTAACCTACTTTATTGATACTTTCATTTTATTCCTATTAGCATAAAACAATGTACTTTATTATTTACACAACCTTGTAAAATTGTCTGTAGTAACTATTAGAATACTTAAATATTGCAAAAAGCGGAAAGATTCTATAAAATAAATGAAAAAATAACGAAAAATACAATTATCCACACTAAACAAGGTTTGTTTGGAAAGTGAAACTGGCAGATGTCAATCAAATCTACGTCATCACTCCTGTGGTCCATTTGAACTAATTTTGAAGATGTCAGATCTACTATTTCGTTTTACCTTAGTGTTCTGTGGTTATTCCCAGAATAACTATTCCGCTGTCAATTTCACAAGGTAGAATGCTCGAAAGGTTATACTTGGAATAAACTGAAGTATAAGTTATACTCAGAATAACTGTTCTCCAATTTATACCTGGATTGTAGAACCGACCCTTAGAAGTTCTACGAAGTTGTCCTTAGATAAACCCCCAGTACCTTCCCCATTCTCTTCTTTCCATATGATACTAACTTTCGATCCCATGTATATTTAACTGATTTGTAAACACAATTATCAGGTGGTTGCAATTTGTCCGTTAAATGACTGGGAAACTTAATAAGGCCAATGTTATGTTTTAATGCTTGTTCAATTATTCGAATACTTAAATGACTTCGGCGGACTTCATATATGAGTACAGCTTTTTGATTTGGTAAATTCTGTATCTCTCGAATTGTTTGCACATGTGGTAGAAATCCATTAATAAACCAATGGTAAAATTGAGGTTCCTCCATCCAACCATTCTTGCTAGAAGCGTAAAGAGTTCCTGGCATGGCCTATGGTGGTATCTATCTTACTTGGACAGCAGCACTCTTAAAAACGATGAGCGGTGGATAATATTTTCTATCTACTGAAACACATGCGAGCACTGTCGTGGACTCCCGTCCAGAACCACCAGAAACTCTGCATAGAGCTTTACCCTTTGATCCTATAGCTCTAATTCTGGACGGATCACTATTAAATTGAATTGAAAAAGACTGTATGTAGACTGTAAGACTGTAAGTCAAAAACAGCTGTTGTCGTTGCTGTATGTGGTAACCACGTTTTATAAAAAATTTTTGATGTGAATTATATATATGTATAAGGGTTAGACCCAAGATCTGTGGCCTACAGAGCCCGATATTTGTTTTTTAATATGTCGTTTGTCCACAATTTTCCTTCTATGAAGTATTTATTGCCTAATTGACGATAGCTCTGATGATGATATTTATTATGTCGATATTAATAAATTATTAGCTTTTATATTTTTAGTTTTATTTTATTTTTTTTATTTTTATTTATTTTTATATATACTATTATATAGCTTATTAATAAATTATTTTACACACTATCAATTTTATTGAAAACATACAAAACCTGCTTACCAGTTAGACCTGGATCACTATTAAATCCACTCTCGTCAGCATTAAATACAAACATGGATTTACTGATGTCATTAAAGCCATTATTTTAAACAGCTTTTAGTTTATAATAGAAATCATAAATGAGATTTTGAATACGCTCAGGTTGCTCTAGCGAAAGTGAAGGATGGCGTTTCATAAATGCAAGATACCAATCTTCACCAGGGATGCCATCTTTGAAGCGAGTTTTTAGGCAATTGTCTTTAACGTATTCACCAACTACATTTAGTCACATTTAGTCAATTTTGTCTGACAATGCAGTAGACACACCAGCTCCCATCTTATCAATTGGTATCTTTCTACCATTTATGCGATTATAAATAACGCAATGTGGAATACTGTTGTAAGCAGCAGCCTCCCTATACGTTCTTTTTTTTTGTTTTGACGTCTGCCACGGCATTTACTAAATCATTATAAATAAGGGTATTAGTGAATTAATTTGTGAAGGTGGATGGTGAGAGTTGGCATGCAAGTAACGATTGGTATATGTGGGTTTTCCATAAACAGAGTGATAAAAACCTTGGGATTGGTTTTTCTTTATGATAACGTCGAGAAATGGTAGGGACAAATCAGTTTCCATGTTTATCGTGAACTGGATAGGAGGATAGATATAGGATATACAGCAGCAGAGAGAAACCGTCTGACTTGGCCAAATGCAGAGATAGCGAAAGTTTGATGAAAATATCTATCATAAACTTTTTTGCCAATGGGTACCCTATTTTAATGCCTCTACTATGGTAGGTAGTGATTGATACTAGTTTAATAGAAAAGGATTCCAATACCATTATTTAAACAAGAGTGTCACTTATGGAAAAGATTAAGTATTCAGGAGTTTTCTTTGGTAGCTACAAATACCAACTTAAAACACCGTCCAAGATCGTCACAGACAACTCTGGAAGGAGTGCTCATCATTTTTTTCCTCATACATTAGAGAAGAGCTGACATAAGAGTATAAACTACCGTATTCTACCTGGGAGCTCTAAACAGATTAAGAATAAGCACGTAAAAAGTATTTTTAAAAGTTAAAGTTAGCAGAAGATAGGCTTTTCTTAGGCAACAGATTTAAAAAGTTTAAAGACTCGCTTATGTGGAAATCACGAATGAAATGAGATCTTCTTCCACTATAGCCTTAGAAAAAATACTAAACTTCCCCGTTTTGATACATCCCGTGACTCTAGTTAATTTCTGGAAATTTTAAGGTTAGAATAACGCAGTCCATGAAGCTTCTTCTTCTTTCAGTGCCTATTCGTTCCGAATATTGGCAATCATTCTGGCTATAATTATTTTATTGACTGCTGCTTTAAATAAATTCGTTGTTGTTGTGGAGAAACCATTTCCTCAGGTTCTTCAACCATGATATTCTCCTTCTCCCAATTCCTCGCTTTCCGAATACTTTACCCTGTAGGATTACCTTCAGTAATCTGTATTTAGTGCTGTTTCTCATTATATGTCCGAAATATTCCAACTTTCTCCTTTTAATGGTATACATCACCTCTCTTTCTTTGCCCACTTTTCGTAATACGGTCTCGTTGGTTATCTTGTCTGTCCATGATATCCTTAGAATTCGCCTGTATAGCCACATCTCGAAGGCTTCAAGTTTTTTCTCCATTGCTTCAGTTAGTGTCCAGGATTCAACTCTGTAATACAATATTGAGAAGATATAACATCGTAGGAGCCTTACCTTTATCTCCAGATTAAGATTGTGGCTTTTAAAGAGTTTGGCCATGTTATTGAATGCACTCCTAGCCTTCTCTATTCTACATTTTATTTCCTGTGAGTGATCCCATTGTTCATTTACTGTTGTTCCAAGATAGTTATACTGTTTTACTCGGTCCACTGGTGTATTATTGATAAGTAGTTGAGCGTCTCTAACCACGACCACTAAATATTGTTATATACGGGTATGAATTAACGTAAAACGTAATTGGTTAAATTAGAAGGGGTGTTCTTACATATTATATTTGATTCGATTTATATTTATTGTTTAAAAACAGATAAAGGAACAGTAATAGGAGTTATGGGTGCTAATAGTCTTCGTAAATTTAGTACTAGCTAAAAACCACTTATTTAGCCGAAACATTTATTGCCTGGGAGAGCTAAATTATATCGAAATCTTTGAAGTCTATAATTTATCAATTTTTAGCAGCTTAAAACTGCAGATAGTTCCTTAACCAATAGGCGATGCACAACAATATAACTTTGATTAGCAAAAATGTTATTACAACCTTCTAGTCGCTATATAAAAATTTCCATAAAGCTTCAAAATGAGATGTGAATTTTTTTGCTCATGCGAGATTAGCCCCAATTATACTTACTAATTAAGGATTGACTTTGTGTGAAAGGGACTTCGTTGATATTCGGAGATTTTAGAAAGCGAGAAAGTTACATCTGTTCTTAGAAGTGAAGGGTTAGTGGATAGACAAAATACACAAACTATTGACTTGTTTTTGAAAAGAGAAAGGATCATAAGAAAACTATGACTCCCCTTAATATGCCAATTAGAAAGCGTAGTATAATTCTTCTAAGGATTTGTTGGCGTTGGGTGTAGCTAAAAGAAATTTGTGAGAGAAAAAATTTGGAAGAATTTGCGAGATGATTCAACATTCTTCAATCCTACCTGTACTATTTACTTTAATTTTTATTGCATTAATATTCTTTTTCCTTATATTTTCTTTCCTTTATAGAAATTTTTGAGACTAGTTGAGTGTTTGCCTATTCCAAGAAAAAAATATCTTTCTTTGTCATCTATGGTAACAAACTGAAGTCAGCAATACGTTTTTTTAGAAGCCCATATTTTGCACTAAAATATGTAGATGTAAGGTATAAACCAAACATTTTTCACGTAGCAGTATGGAAAGATCTACAAGAATAAAAGTCCCCAATGAAATCTGTAATCTAGTTTCAACGTACTTGCGTTGGTAATTTACCAAGTCAAAACGTATGTTAAATCATTTTTAAATTCTCTATCTCTAAAAAGCATCTCGAATGCGAGTATGAGAATTACGAAACTTCTGAATAATGAATACTGAAATATTACTATTATTACATTCTTATATTTTTTTTCAGTTCCTCCAATGTTATGGATTCCCCATCAGCTGGTAGGAGTTCCTTTAAATTACGCCGTGACCCTCGAATGTTTCACAGAGGCGAATCCAAGTTCCCTAAACTATTGGACTCGGGAAGACGGCCAGAATATGATACACGATTCACGAAAGTATCGCACGGAAAACAGCGTCGGCTATCCTTCATATAAGACCCACATGAAACTCACCATTAACAACATTCAGCAAAGTGACTACGGCACCTATAAATGCGTCGCGAAGAATCCCAGAGGGGAAACTGATGGGACTATTAGATTGTACAGTAAGTTTCACCATTTATTAAGAAATATCTTAGAGAAACAAAAGTGTTTTAAGCAAAACAGTTTCTACAGTGGGCTTACCCTTAATCATTTTTAGTAAAATCAAAATCAAAAATTCTTCCTATTCTATTAAAAATTTAAATATTGAACTATTTAAAACCCTTATTAGTAATAGTTACGACTTAAAAATTAATAATTAGTGATAAACCAGATTGTTCTTGAATTTAAATAGTAAAACAGGTGCCATATTTCCAAAGGTATAACTATAATGTTTAGGAAATCTGCATTGCAGATTTATGATGCAGATGGTGTTTTAAAATTCATTTAAAACAAATTTAAAAAAGAATTTCCAAGAGAAATGTATATTATAGATAGATAGATAGATAGGTTTATTGACAATTTTTACATAGTAAACACTACATGTCATGTCACAATAAAATAATTTACTTTTGTATACTAAGAACTAAGAAATAATACAAGAACATATAATAAAACATATACAGTGAAATTAGATATATAAAATTATAACAAATAAGAAAGAAACATTTCAGTAAGGAGTAATATAGTTTTCATTCAAAACGACCACACTAGGAGCTCAAACAAACAAATTCCTGTATACTATAGAAACAGTGTTCCAGCAGGAAGTGTTTTGCTAGTTTATAAAATTGTTTAGAATTCATTGCCTTAATATCAATATTTTTGTTTAAGTTTAAAAAACAATTATACAGATTATAATCTATTGTTCTTAAGTAATGATGTTCTTCTTCTACCAGGACCACGATTACCTTGGATCTTTCCCTGAATGATTAGATGTAAAAGATTCATATTTTTCAGAGTGTCTCATAATGTGACCGAAGTATTCCAGCTTGCGTTTCTTTATTATATTGGCCCAGTTGTGTTTGTTTGGTTCAGCCGTCTAAGGACCTCCTCATTTCTAACTCTGTCGACCCAGCTTATTTTCAATAGTCGTTTGTATGCTCACATCTCAAAGGCTGTCAAGCGTTTAAGGATAGCCTCAGTTAGAGTCCACGCTTCCAATCCATACAGCAGGACAGGAAAGATGTAGCAAAGTACGTTTCTCATTTTTACAAAGGCAGCTCGGGCTTGTTCTATTCGGCTTTTAATTTCTGCGGTTGGATCCCAGCTCTCATTGATATTACTGCCGAGATACACGAGTTTCTCTACTCTGTCCAGTGTGGCATCTCCGACTTTTATACCGTCATCCTGTATATAATTTTGTTTGCTAACTATCATATATTTAGTTTTCTTAACGTTGAGTTTTAATCCATACTGATCACAAGTCTGTTTTATTTTGTTCATTAGATTTTGAAGGTCTTCTCCGCAATTAGCAAGCACTAAGGTATCGTCGGCATATCTAATATTGTTGACGGTTACTCCATTCACAATAATACCTTCGGTTGTCTCCATTAAGGCTTCCTTAAATATTTCCTCCGAATATAAGTTAAAAAGTAAAGGCGACAATATACAGCCTTGTCTCACTCCTCTTTTTATATTTATTTCATCCGACAGTTCTTGTTCAACCTTTATTCTTGCCACTTGATGCCAGTATAGATTTGTAATTATTCGTAGATCTTTATCGTCCAATCCAGCTGTTTCCAATATTTCTAGCATTTTGTTATGTCGGACTTTGTCAAAAGCCTTTTTCAAAATCGATTGCACAAATGTACACATTTTGATTTATATCTCTGCATCTCTGTACTAGCACCTGTATACTAAACAAGGCTTCTCTTGTACCCAAGCCACTCCTAAACCCAAATTGAGTATTGCTAATTCTGTCCTCTAACAGCGTGTATAATTCTGCTGTGTAGTTACTCGCAGGAAGATCTTCAAAACGTGACTCATCAGACTTATTGTCCGATAATCATCGCATGTCTTTGGACGATGTTTCTTAGGTATTGTGACAAATGTCGACGTTAACCAATCAGTTGGTAATATCCTAGTGTCATAAATTCTGTTAAAGAGATTACACAGAGCTTTAATTCCATTTTCTCCCAAAAACTTTAGTATTTTAGCACTTACTTCATCGGGGCCAAGTGCTTTTCCATTTTTTGCCGTTTGTATTGAACGTGTAACCTCACTTTCTGTTATAGATGGACCTGATATAGCAATCGGTGTATAGTGTTCTACTCTCTCATCTTCAAATAATTCAGAAATGTAGTTTTCCCATTCTTTTAACTGTTCATTGATGTCTAATATTCTGTGTCCGTTTCTGTCTTTTAAACTTTGGGATACTTGTTTCCGTTTGTTTTCAGCGACCTCTTTTAATTTCTTGTGCAGATGAAATGTATCGTGTTTCTTTTCATATTGTTCAATTTCATTATATTCTTTACTATGAAATTGTATTTTCGCGTGTCTTATCTTCTGCCTGATTATTGCGTGGATCCTCTTGTATTCGTTTTTATCTTTATTTCTGACTTCTCTTCTTTGATCCATAAGTCTCAGTATTTCTTCTGTCATCCACCCTTGTTTTTTTCTTGCTTTTAGCGCACTCAATTTTGTTTCTTGAACAGTCTTTAAGATGTCTTTAATTCTCGTCAAATTTTTCTCTGTACTTTCCTCTTTGCTTGATGTTAACTTCATTTTTTGTTCTAATATACTAGTTATTTCTGGTTTTACAGTATCATTTAACATCTTTTCTCTATCAATAGTAACTGTTTGCTTATTCGTTCTTGCAACCTTGTTAATCTCAGTCTTATTTTTTCTACTAAAATATTGTGATCTGTTGGTACATCTGCGCCTGGATATGTTTTTACTGCTAATACCGAATTTCTGTATCTCTTATTTATACACATGAAGTCTATTTGGTTACGAACAGTTCGTTCAAGTGTATCTGCTGGTGATTTAAAGTGTGTAAAGACGACTTTTTGGAAGTTTGAAAATTGTATTTGTTATTACTAGTTGCTTTTCTACGCAAAAAGATGCCAACATATCTCGTCTTTCATTTCGTATTCCCAGACCATATTCTCCTATATCTTCCAGTTCACCTTCACCAATTTTTGCATTAAAATCTCCCATGATAATATTGAGATCGTGTTTCTTTGTAGGTGCTAATACTTTTTCTATATCATGATAGAATTTTTCAATTTCTTCTTGTTCATAGTCTTGTGTGGGTGCATATACTTGTAATATGTTCACATTTATTGTTGTTGATTGTATTTGTATCATCAGTATCCTGTCTGAGAATAGGACGACGTTTTTTACAGCTTTATCTATTTCCTTCGACACAATTATTGCTACACCATTTTTGTGTTTTGAGCTGTCTTCTCCTAAATAGTATACAATGTGATCATCTACAGTTACTTTTTCAGACCCTGGCCATCTCATTTCACTTATTCCAAGAATACTTATATTTAGACGCTTCATTTTTTTAATGGTGTGAATTTTTCCTGGTTCGTACATGCTTCTTACATTCCATGTACCTATTTTTCTTTCTTTAGAAAATGTGTTCATGTTTCTAGCTGATCGGGAGATTCTTAGCACCCCTATTCCATTTAAGGAGCGCCCGTACTCGGGGCCGTTGTATTTATCAGCCATTTCCATGATTGTTTCTTGGGAAAATTAGGCTTTAGGTGGTTTCCTGTTGCCTTCCTAGAGTGTGTAATAGAAGGAAATATAGTGACCTGTCTGCCCTTGAAAACCTAATAGCCATTCGGGGTCGGAAGAAACAAGAGTTAGCCAAGAGAGGCTGATAGGAAAGATTAAAGATATTTCACTCCAGACAAGTTGAAAATGTGAAGGCCCTTATGATCCGCCAGGTACGTTTCATAAGCGTATGAGTATTGATTCACTTTGTGTTCCCGCTCATACCTTGGGGTGTTGACTACAGACTGTATGGCTCGTCCAGCATGCCATAGCATGAAGGATAGGGTACACGTCATTTTTACAATGTAGATACCCCAGCTCCATGGTCTGACCAAATACTGCCCTCTTATTAAACTCTAAAAGATCGCCTGTGCTCTAGGTAAAGACCCTTAACTTTTCCAACGAGAAGTTTAAAGATTTCCCCTAGCTTCTTCTTCTTCTTACAGCACTATAGCCCAAATGGAGCCTTGGCCTCCTTTATTTTTTGCCTCCACCCTTGCTTGTCTGTGGCTGATCTTTTCTATACACGAACTCTTAAAAATACTTGTGCATCGCTGTTTACTGTGTCTTCCTAGCACTTTGTTGGCTTTCTAACTAATCTCTTTCAATGCATTCAAGCATTTAGTCCTCTTTTTGGTCGCCTATCTTTCCCCTATAAGCTCTGTTTGCCTACGTTATTCTCTTCCGTATCCCTCCATCTTCTGATTTGTCGGCATATATTTCTACTCCCAGGTATGTAAACTTTCCCATCGTTTAAATATCATCTCCATGTATAATATTTTGTGGGACTATATTTCTTCTCGTCTGTATCATTATTTTTGGTTTTTCTGTATTAATTTCCAGACCTAGCATTTTGTTTGCATTTTTAACTCTGCATATGGTTGGTCAGTAGGTTTCCTCGTCCAGTTTGCATTTGCCTAACCGCATAATACAGTGGCAGGTTAAACAAAGTTGAGGCCAGCCCATCTCCCTGCTTTAATCGCTGCGAAATTTTGAAAAAGTCTGTTCGGTAGTTTTGTATTAGTACACATGCCTGAGTTTCATCCCTTTTGGCTTTAATGAGTCTAATTAGCTTGTATGGTATTGACAATTCAGCCAATATATAGTAGAGTTTGTTCTTTTTGACTGAGTCGTATGCCTGTTTGAAATCTACAAACACGTTGTGAACATCAATGTAATGTTCCCATGATTTACTGAAGATCTCTTTTACTGTGAATATTTAATCCAGTGTAGATCTTTCCCATCGGAAGCCCATCTGATACTCTCCAATAAGATTTTCTGATAGTGGTTGGAGCCGCTGGATTATAATATACGTGAGGAGTTTATGTGCTGTACATAGTAGAGCGCGGTAGTTTTTGCACTAGAGTTTGTCTCCTTTTTTATAGATCGGGCATACTATACTTTTCTTGCCATATGTCTTTGATGAGAGCGTGGATGTGACTTGCTAGGTGGTGACTTACCTTATACAATTCTGCTGGTATTTTGTCAACTCCTGGGGATTTATTGTTTTTTGGGCCTTAATAGCTTCGAGAAGTTTCTCTATGGTTGGAGCTTCTACTCCATTCTCTGCTTCATTCTCTTCTACGTAGTTCGTATCCATTTCATCTTCCATTTCATTTCATTCCTTTTCCCCTAGCTACATAGGTCATATCTTCATGTAGAGATTTTTTCACCAGAGTCTTCATTTGATCAGTCCATCGTTTTAAAGATCTTCCTCTTGGTCTTCGGTCTTCTATCTTTCCTTCTACCATCAATAGTTCCATAGTCCCCATTCACAAGAAGGTGAAAAATGGGGACAGAATTTACTGAGGTGGAGATAGGTGCAAGCAAAACAAATCGAAACTTTTGCGAACGGCTACTCAGGGTTTATTTGGCGAACTGGGACGTGGACTAAGTGATGGAGCAACTACAAAAATGAAATAAAACGGGGTTACTTACATGAATCTCCTGACAAACACAATACAAGAAGGTTATGAAGCTTCTATTTTACTAAATCAAAGATTTATGATCAAAGATAAGATCACTGCGGGGATTAATGTTTTTAGCTGGGATGGGGGTGACAATGTTAAGACGCAACCCCTAATTTGACCTCCATGCTTTGTATACCGATAAAAAATACAGCATAGTTTCTAAAGTTGTTATTACATATCGTAGTATTGATTTATATGTGATTCATTTTGGGTCAAATGGCTCATTAAAAATGTCACTTGGGCTTGTACTCGATTATATAAAAATAACTAATAAAATAGCCATATATCGCATTCTTCCAACTTGTAATACAAATTCAATAGCTTTGAAATTTTTACTTTCTTTTGTTACAGCTTCATCACCTCCAACATCTTCGTCGAGGCCACCAACTACCGACTCTTCAAAAGATATTTGGAGCAAAGGAAATGGTTCTGCTTATGGAAATTCTCGGTCGGTTTCTCACGTTTCGGATAAAGGTATAAAAACTTAGGAATCATACAAAAAAACTCGTTAAAACTTTCAAGAATATTGATTTTATAGGCAGGATCATTAAATTTGCCGATCTTTCTTCTGTTGCTGATATTTTTATCTCTCTTTTAATTTTTTTTGTTTATTTATTTATTTACTAAAGAGATGTTCTAATATCTAATAGGCGTTATGTACCGAAAAAGACTAACGGTTTGACTGACTCTAGGAATAGGAGAAGACTAAGTCAAAAGTACGTCACTATCAGCTTTCTCAACCAAAACATCTTATAAACCAAAAGCTTCATTTAACCATTCAGATTTCTCTATTTCCTCTTCCTTACTTTGACAAACTAACTTTAAAATACGATCTGTTACACGTGATATCCTAGACAAGAAACTTACATAACTATTGGAGCTAGTATTTCCAGACATTCATCAATTTTTATCTGTAAATCTTGACAATTGGACTGAATAGCTGTTTCCTCTTTCCTAAAGTATGTAAACAGTTGTATTCAAAACAATTCTCTTAGTAACTTCTTGATCTATTGCTTCCCGCAAAATTGTCCTTTTTAACTTAATAGTGGTATCTTAAGTCTTCTAGTTTTTAACTCGGAAGCTAACTCTTCAGAAAGCAAATGTTTAATTTTAAATGTAAATGGAGTTATACTATCAATAAACTGCACTATTGATACTAGTTATAGAAATCATAAAATAATACTGATCAACAAAATCACTCCCTTAGTTTAAAAGAAATATAATAATTCTCCTATACTTTATATACAATAGCACTAAAGGCCTTAGAGGCCATGGCTTAAAGAATTTTGTTCTTTCTTCATTTTCGCTTTCCTTTATGTACTGAGATCTTCTCTGGCTCGATATGTGACTTTTCTCCATTCCTTCTTGTTATTCATTTTTCTTTTCTGGCCGCCTAGTCCAATTTCTTCCATATCTTTTTCTACCTCCTGATTCCATCTATTTTTTGGCCTTCCTTTTCTCTTTTTTGAAGTTATATTGTAGTTTAGAACCCTTTTTGGAGTCCTCGTGTTTGGCATCCTGTCTAGGTGACCTCGCCATATTAGTCTCTGTGCCTTTATGACTCCTATTATGTTAGGTTGATTATATAATTTCTTTAATTCATCATTTGATCTTCTTATCCATAAACCGTCCCTTATTATTTCCTCCATATATCTTCCTCAAGATTTTCCTTTCCCATATATCCAGTAGATTTTGTTCATTTTTTGTCATTGTCCACGTCTCACTGCAGTATGTTGCTATTGGTTGTATAGTTGTTTTGTATAACTGTATTTTTGCCTTTCTTGATAAAAACTTGCTTTTCAACATTCCACTAAGAGCATGTACACTTCTATTGCCTGCCATTATTCTAGCTTGTATTTCTTCTTTAATGTTAGGTTTACGTGATATTATTGTACAGTTGCGGTCACGGAATAGTTTACAGGTTCACGTATCTAGGAGCCCATTTTTTAAATTTTTACTTCGTTTAAACGCACCTTTTACGTCAAAGTGACGTTGCCAGTGGTGTACTAGCTAGAATAGGTAGATTAAAATTAAAATATCAAAATATTTTACAAAATGAAAAATATAGAAAACAGTTTTTTGAATAAAATGGATTATGATCTTAATAACGAAAATAAAGAAGTCTTTTTTTTAATATGCATTTTATTTTAAATCTATTTTATATTAAATAACGATAAACAATGATAAATAATAATTAATATTTGGTGGAAGCCCCATTCTTGTCAATACAATTTTGCAGTCTTCTGTTCATAGATAGCACCAATCCCCTCATGTTATAGTTAACAAGCTCTTCCCATGCCTGCTCAATTGCTTCCCATAATTCAATTCTATTCCGTGGTCTAAGGTTTCTTTCATTTAGTTTCTTTGTTAACTCTGCCCACACATTTTCGACGGGGTTAAAGTCTGCACTACGGGAAGGCCACGGAAGAACATTAACATCAGTTTCTTCTAGCCATTCTCGAACAATTCTACTCGTATGCACCGGGCAATTGTCATGTTGGAAGATAAAGTCGTTGTTGGGGAATCTCTGGATCACCGATGGCAACATTGTGTGCTCAATAATATGTTTGTAATATAATCCTGTTAACTTCTCCTCTACATGATAACAAACGCCCGGGCCTTCGGCACTTATCCATCCCCATACGTTGACAGAGAATCCTCCACTATTTCTTAAATGATGCGTTATACTGTTCATCATACCTATGATTTCTCGGCCTATAAACTCTTATTCGACCATTATTATACGACTGAAATACTTTTTCATCGGAAAATACAACCCTAGACCAAAAATTCTCATCGCGGTTTATAAATTCATTACAAAATTCAACTCGTCTCCTCTTGTGATCCTCAGTCAAAAAAGGTTTCCGTGCAGCTACACAATTTAGCAGTCCACTTGCTTTAATTCTTCGACGTGCAGTGCGAATACTGCCTGGAAACGTTGCCTCTTCTCTTGCCTTTTGAGCTGTGGCAAAAGGAGATTCTCTCAAATAATCTACTAACATCTCATCCTGTTGATCTGTGGAAATCTTCTGCCCTCCTGAACCACCCAACCGTGCTATAGAGTGAAAATTATCCCATCTTTGTTTAATCTTCCATATGCACATATGAGTCACGTTCAAATCAGCAGCAACTTGCCTTAGTGACCAACCTTCTTCGAGTTTGGCAATTGCTCTTGCTTTTTGCGCATAATTCAAATGTATTCTAACCATTTTGGAAGAGTTTAATATACTTTTATTTTATTGTTGAACACTCGCGAAAGCATTGACGTTTTGAAATTTTTTGACTTTGACATTTATCAAATCCGTACGACACTGCAATTTTACAGTATTACAATATAAAAAGTAAGGTGTAAACTATTCCGTGACCGCAACTGTACCTAGGTATGTAAATCTTTCCACCATTTCAAATTCGTATGATAATCTTTCTTCTACTTCTACTTTAAACTTTTATCCATCCCTAAACTGATCATCTGTCAACTGCATACATTTTGTTTTAGTTTCATTTATGTAAAGTCCCATTTTCTTTGCTGCTTTTACTATTCTCTGTACTATCTCCTGTAGCTCTTTTTTTCCTCTTGCCAGCAACACTATATCATCCGCAAATGCCAAAACTTGGTGTCGTTTATGATATAGGAGTCCTTCTCTATTAATTCTCGCTTCTCGCATTATTATATACTTTATACCATATTTACCCCCTATACTTTACCATATTTAAAATTCACACAACTATTATCATAAATGTAGAAAGTTCTTCATTAAAAACTCAACAACGAATAAATTTAATATACTTCAATGATGAGTTATGGAAAATAAAACAAAAATAAAAGTTAGAGTAATAGCACAATCAAAATTGCTACATTTTTTAACTGATCCCTGAAATTGTGTTTCCTAAAACCATTTCATTTGCTTTTAGATATATTTATTAATATTTTTGTAAAAGAATTTCGTAATCTGTAAAATCATAAAAAATGTATGATAAATATATTTATTGTTGCAGGCTCTAAATACCAATCGAATTTAAATGAAATTGACAAATACGAACAGAAGGCCAATACGGATTCGGACACCAAGGGTCATTTTTATGAAACTGCTTCTGAAAATATGGGAGGTCATCTTAACTGTAAGTTCTTTTAAATATATATGTACAATTTTATTATTTATACCTACGAACCAGTTAAAGTGACTTAGAGTGACAAGAGAACTGTTTGTCTCAAGTTGGTCATTCAGAATTATATCTGTGTTTTTTAATTTGTTGATTTCCATAGATTCTAACAAAGATAGCTTAAGGCCTTTATTTTGAATGCGAAGAATTTTAAATTTGTCATTAAAAGAATGATTATGATCTAGAAGGTGAAGTGCGTATGTCGAATCTGTTTTTCTATTCTTGAAAGCACTTTTATGTTCTGCTATTCGTTTATCAAAGTTTCTACCAGTTTGACCGATGTAAGTTTTTGGGCAGTCGCCACATTGAAGTTTATACACACCACTATTTAAGTGTTTTTTATTTTGGCTCTTGTTATTTTTAATATATTTACCTAGGTTGTTATTTGTTCGGAAAGCTGGTGTTATTTCTTTCTTTTTATGTGTTTGGCAATTTTTGTTGTTATTTTGCCTGTATATGTAATCGAGCAGAAGGTACTGGGTTTTTACATTTTGCATGCACTGAGATTTGTCATTAAAAGAATGATTATGATCTAGAAGATGAAGTGCGTATGTCGAATCTGTTTTTCTATTATTGAGTTCTCCCCTCCTCAACCTATTTCATTAGAAACTATAAATTGTAAACGCATGCCAAAAATAGATCACTTGAGGAAGGCAATCAGCCGAAACAGCTGTAGTGATAATAGTTAAAATAAATTTTGTGGAAGTTTGAAAACAAAGTTTTCAGTGTTTTATTGTTACATAAAATGAATTTCCATCAAGTAACGGTCGAATCCATCAATTATCTATTGAATAGTTTGGCAAGGACCTGTCATAATCTTTTTCCAGCCACTTTCAAGGCATCTGCCACTATTTCATCGACTCCTGGGGAACTTAAAGTTTTTCATTTCTTGCACTAACCTTCGAACTTTATTGGGTGTTACGTCCGGTAAAATTTCAGATCCCTGATTGATTATCTTTGGTAATGATCCACTCCGGTCACATTGCTGTTCTTTGTATAGTTGTCTATAAAAAATCTCTATCGTGTTCATAATTTGAACTCTATCCTCAATGATTTGACCCTGTTCATTTCTTAATTTGTGGACGTTTTTTCTTCCGATGGACATGCTCTGTCTGAGTACTTTCAAGCTTTTGTTTTCTTCTATTACTCTAGTTATTTCCATCGTATTGTATCGTCTCAGATCTTTTCTAACTTCCTTTTTAATTTTCTTATTCAAAATTCTTTGTTCATTTTGGTTATGATCCTGATTTTCTCTTCTGAAAATCCTGAAGTTTTCTTCTTTCCTCTAGAAGATGTTTTGTGTTGTAGCTTAATTTTTTGTTATTGTTTTCAGGACGAGGACAGTATTTCTTTTCAGCTTCTTTTAACATTTGAGTAATATTATTGTTCATTTCATTGATGCTGATATTCTCTAAGTCGTGTGTATCCAAACTAGTCTCAATATTTTCTTCGTAAAGTGTTATATCTCCTGGGAACATCCACCTTCCAATTTTCTTTTTGAGGACCATTTTTGTTCTTTTAACTTCAGTGTTAAAAGTGGTTAAAAATTTATTTCAATACTGTTACATCCTGAACAATATCTTTCCGACTTGATATTATGAAATCAATCTCATTTTTTGTTCTTTGGTTCGGACTCTTCCGTGTCCACTTACGTTGGAGTCTCTTTCCGAAGAATGAGTTCATCACAAAGAGATTTTCCTGATGTAAGAAGTCAAGAAGCCTGTTACCTCTCTCATTTCTCTCACCAAATCCAAAGTTTTCCATAGCAGATTCTGCATCATCTTGTTTGAATCCCAATTTGGCGTTTAAAATCTCAATTATCAATGTGTAATGTGTTTTTGAAGTTTGTATAGCTGCTCTGATATCTTTATAAAATTGATCAACTTCCTCATCCGGGTTGCTTGTAGTTGGTGCGTAAGCCTGTATAATTTTAAGTTTGTATCTTGGGTTTAATTTAAAAATAAGATAAATGATTGAATTTTTATTATAAGATAGCACAATTTTTTGTTAAAAACAATATAATTATGTCACTGACAGTTGTTTTTTTATTTTTCAGTTTGCTTGGTTACCGTTTTATCATCTTTCGTCTTTCCAATCTTGATGTTAAGGGCAACGAGGTGAATAGCATACCACCAAAATTTCAGTTATTAGACTAAGTGAGTTTACTTAAGAATGAACGCTTTAAGATGGAATTATAAGTGTAAAATGTACATTGGGTAGTTACTATTTAATCAAAGACTGAAAATTGGTTAGCTTAACATATCACTGAATAACATAGTATAACCGTATATTACTTTTATTAGACATTGATATATAATAGTTAATAAATACCAAAAAATAATAAATTTCTAACACGTTCACTGCCTCACAAGTTTTTCAATTGGTCTCAGATTGCGCGGAATTTTTTCATAATTATTTGCACAATGCAGTATACGTTTTTAAGTGAACACAGTGACTCCATACATCTATTTACTAACATATTTTTGCATTAAATTCATTCTCTTCTAACACTACTTGTTACTTCATCGTATATATCTTCCAAAAGAGTCTTCGTTCTTTTAATTTATATATTCTAAAGAATAGATACCTTTCAAAGCACAAACATAACATGTTAAAATTATTTCCGCATAAACAAGATTGAGCATCGCAAATGAAACTCATAGTGTCCAAATTAATGAAAAATGAGCATTATTTTATTTAGCGTATGGCTTACATCATTATCATCAAAAGTGGCTCGACTATCCATTATGGATCTTGGCCTGCCACAAAGAAATCGCCATTTCTGTCATTTCCTGGCAACTTCCCTCCATTTTCGGACTCTTAGAATCTGTAGGTCTTCTTCCACATCATCAATACATCTCCTTCTACTTCTTGCACCCTCTGAGCTTAAAAATGTTAATCTCTTCGTATATTCGTGATCTGACATTCTAGCAATCTGTCCAACCAATCTATGTATCTGCACTTTAACACTAGAAGCGCTAACATTTCTACCAGTCCTATAAGCGCGAACGGGTCTTATAGGACCAACTTACATGTTCTTTGTTTACATAAAAGATTGCTACAAATATTTTGAAATGGTTCCTAGGTTATATATGGCCAATTTAGTTTATCAAAATTTTATGGATATCCTTTTTATGAAAAATATTGAATTTAACCTTATATATGAAATAACTTTTATACATAAAAAATCAAATGGAAATTGTTTTACAAAAACAATGGATTACAGCAAATGTCATATGTCAACATAACACTTTAAATCAGAATAAAATATGACATTTTTTAGCTACGACAAAAGTAATATAAAACTTTAATTATTCCAAATGCTGTCTTATTTTAATGAAAGCAATAATTATTGAAATGTCTTTATAACTTGGGAAAATTAATATATTAAATTGTTACCTTAATTCACATAATCACTTAACTTTGTAAAGGAAAAACTTGCTACATCTCTGGGCATATTCTCTAACAGGAACAAGGAGCCATTTATATACTCAGGCAGGAATGATTAAAACAGGAACTTTCTGGAAGAATCAAGCTGACTTACGGGGACATTCTATATAATACATTTCGAAACGGTATTTATACAAATCTTTGTATCTTTGTAACCAAATATCTTTGTATTAGAAACGAGTCAGATAACATAGACCTCGAAAACGGACAACATATTTCCTGCTGTCAGAGCTATGACTACTTGGGTGTTGCCTTTGACAATATAGGAACTGATACACGGGAAATAGAAAAACGAATCACTCAAGCAAAGAAAGTCTTATGATGTCTCAATGGTATACTGTGGAGTAAAGAGATAACGAAAGGAAGAAAATTTAATATATATGAGACCATGATTAAAACTACTCTTCTTTATGGCGCTGAAACATGGAGAATTAGTGAAAAGAACAAAAGGCGAATAGAAGCAGTAGAGATGGATGCAATGAGAAGATCTTTAGGTATTTCCAGACGAGACCGAATCAGAAGAAATGATGTAATAAAACAACGTATGGGAATAGAAGGAAATATAACTCAAGATATAGAGAAGAAAAAATTAAGGTGGTATGGGAATGTTCAACGGATGCCAGCAACAAGACTCCCCCAAAAAAGTAGTAGAATGGTAACCGATAGGTCGACGGAAAAGAGGAAGACCCAGATTAGAATGGCAACACGGCATGAACAAGTCCATGAGCGAAAGAAATTTAACAACAAACGACTGCGAAGATAGGAAGAGATGGTGTTTAGGTATCGGACAACGTCGAAAGACGTTCTAAACCGATGTATATATATATATATATATATATATATATATATATATATATATATATATATTATATATATATATATTATATATATATATATATATCTATACAAATCTTCTAATATACTCAAAAAAAATAGAAATATTGGTGACTCTTTTCTAAACTGCATATTACCTAGAGTCTACTATTTTCAACCAATTTTGCCGGTCTCTTTACCGACAAATCAAAACGTCTTTTCTATTCGAATCTTTTCTTCGACTCTACATTGTAACACGTCTGCCCTGCTTGGAACTTAAATGTCGACTCTCCTATTTACGTTACATTTTACAAATTCAAAGCCAAATCAATTTCCCTTTTACGTCTCCAAACCTCAACAAACAATCTTCCCCTTGTTATTCGTTCCTAACGATGAAAGACAAATAAAACCTCTTTTTTATTAGGGGGCATCATAAATTATAATCCCTTTATATACAAAAAAACTTGTCGGAATAGATATAACATAATACAAATTAACAAAACAGCACGTAGTTTTTAAACCGGAGTTCTACCTGACTTTGTAACAAAAGGTTATGGGTTTTGAAAGTACACATAGACAAAAAATATATCCAGCGTTATTTACGCATTTAAGATTTTCGTAAAAGACAAACACAGATTTTATGGCAATCTTTATGCGTACTGGCGAGATTAACGAACAGGGACGTATTATAAAATTTAAAACGCTACAA